AGTGGCACAATCATAAATTTTTCAAAGTTCAGAATTTTTAAACCCAGATTTCTTCTTCCTCTCGCGAATGTTTCAAACAGCCATTTTCAGACAGCCATTTCTCCTCCGTCTGGCTACCAAATCGAGTGCCACAACTTGCAAACTCTTCGCCCCTCTCTCCTCTTTGCGTACATACCCATATCCAGCCTTGATTCCAAGCGAATCAACCAGAAAAATCGAGCCAAAGTTGAGCCCAGAAACGGGCAGCTTCGAACCCAGAAATTTCGTGGTCTTTTCAGGCCAAGTCCGGCGGCCACAGCTCAGGTAATTGCACCCAAAATACTCTCCTATCTTCCCTTGGTATTATCCCTTGGAAACTCAACGTGAATCCATTCCATTTCCTTTGATTTTGAAACTAAAATTTGTTAGGGTTTTCAAGAGATAGAAAGCTTCATTCGAGAGCTTTAAAGTTGGGGTCGAGCCAAGGTATAAAATTACTCCCCTTGATGTGCTTAATCTGTAGGTATGACTATTGGTCGGCGGTTTGGAGTTTTCCGGTTGCTGGAAAATTACTCAATGCACCTGCCGACGATGGTGGCGCTTTGCCGGGGTGTCAATGTTGGGTTTTTGTCCTAAAATGTTCCCTACGTCATCCCGAGCACGACAGTATGCTCGGATTCCAATTTGGATACTGTTTGAGCCTCGAACATATTTTACATATTGTGCGTTAACTGGGTTCAATTGTTTCGAACCGTTGGATCGTAATCATTTTCAGATATGTTAATCTAGACAATATCAGGATCGTTGAGGGTTTGACGGATCATGAATCGGAGTCCCAGATACTCCGAAATCGCGAACTCTAAGGTTAAGGTTTTGGGAACCGCTTGATCGCGCGATCGTGACCAATCCAACCGTCCGATCGAGACCAAACTCTTGGGACTTGTGTCCTAGGCTTATTGGAGCCTCTACTAGCTTCCAGATCATAATTTTGAGGTTGTGGGCCACGGGGTCCCAAGTTGACTTTTTGGGACTTTAGCGCTTGTTTAGTCCCGAGGCACTTCTCAACCATTCCAAATGTAAGGAAAGCTTTTGTGGGCATAGGAAATGTTTCTAAGTTAGTGCACGCACTTCTAGGAGCCGGGGATCAGGGTTTTATTTAAATACTTATACTGAGCAGTTTTATTAATTAAGTATTCATGATGTTTTAATCAGGCACAGGGGCACGGACCGACCCGCAGGACGGACCGACCCGCAGGAAGGACCGTCAAGAGGTCCAGCTAGCTCGGACCAGGAGTGAGTGGACTTTTTGTTTTCAGAAAGGAATTTATGCAATTCAGTTACAGTATTTAATCTTGAATGAGTTTTATTCAAAGATTAGTGTTTTATAAGTTGATATGTGCTTTTAAATGTTTTGATTTATATGATGCCGAGTAGGATATCCTTTATGGATATAGGAAAAGGAAATTCTAGCTAAATATCAGATAAATGGCAGCAGAGTTCTAAGTTTAATAGGAATTCAGTTATTTATCAAATCTTTCATAATTTTATATTTTTCTTAAGCCACCTCAGGTACCCAGATACAAATATGTTGCCTTCGGTATTTAAGTTGCCTTCAGATAAAATTGTTGCCTTCAGTAATATTTTGCCTTCGGATTTTATTGGTTGCCTTCGGTTTAGTCAGCATGCTTGACAGTTGCCCCACGAGTTCTATGGTACCCGAACTCGTGTGGAGCGAGGATGCGGATCAGGTTGACCAAGGTCCCTTGGAATCCTGCGAGGATTGCAGCTCGGGTCGACCTCGTGTCACCGAGACTTGCGAGGACATGTCACCAATGGTGATACGAGGAATTGACGGTATATCAGGAATTGATGGCATATCAAGAATTAACAGATATCAGGAATTGACGGAAATAAAGGGGTACACCTAGGTGGCAGTTTTAAATTGATTTCAATGCTTTTAAGAAATTAATTTTGACCATGAGTATGATTGGCTTATATATATATATATATATATATATATATATATGAATGCATTGATTTCAATACGAATATAATGAAGAGAATGAGTTAGTTTTGCATAATTGTTTTTACAGTGGGGTTAGTATGTTCTTATGTATTTTCTAAACTTTTTTTTTGGTCCCCTCACTCTTTTTTTTCAATGTTTTGCACCCCCAAGTAGTAAGCGTGCACAATGTTCCACCACAGGGCCGTTTTCCACCTTCCGTGCTTTCCCTTTCTTATGTAGGACCCTTCTGTAAATGAATTGACTCCTTTTGTAAATTCTTAGTGGTTGCTCTGATAACTTGCCCTAGAATTAGGATTTAACTATTGGAATGTATATATATACGCATGCTGGCAGTTGGATTGTGTATATATGCTTGTTTGACAAGTGTAAGTTTTGGGAATTGATCAGATTACAGGGGGAACTCTGCTGATTTTTTGGTAGGAGTCAAGCTTGTTATTTTATCAAATTTTGGAGGGAAGGGCAATAAGGTCATTTGTGCCTGGCACCCGCTAGGTGTCGGACACGCACAGGGTTCAGCCCGTATTACAAAGCAGAATTTGGGTCGGGTCCTGTCAACTTGGTATCAAAGCATTAGGTTTAACTTCCTGTAGACTCCGCACTTTAAGTGCATTTCAGTTCTGAGGAGTTTCTATTTCTGGTGACAGAATCATAGGCCCTAAGCATGGTGGTACTCGAAGAGGGATTAGACAGTTATCCCAACTCTGGGGACAGAGTTAGGTTGACCAGGCTAAGAGAATTGAGGCCATCGATTTGTTGGTGATGGTGACCCAGCAGTAGCCGAGGAGTGGATCATGAAAGTGATGTGCCTTATATGTACATGCCCACCTCCATCTAGCATGAGGCCTTTTGGGAGCTCATTGGCTTCGAAGTCATGGGAACTCCGAAGTTAAGCGAGTTAGGGCTAGAACAATCCCAGGATGGGTGACCTACTAGGAAGTTGCTCGTGAGTTCCCAGAAACAAAACCGTGAGGGCAGAGATGGGGGCCCAAAGCGGACAATATCGTGCTTTGACGGAGCCGATCCCGGGATGTAACATTTGTTGCACCATGTGAAGATGGAGAGGTTAATCGGATACTTTTTGTGTTGCCTAGTGATTGAAAACTCTTTTGTAAAGGATGATATGTTTTGCACAGCTTAAGAAGAGCCAAATCACAATGAAGTAAAAGGTGGAGCTTTGTTGAATTTGGAGGACTACAAGAAAGCAAAAAACTAAACTATGAGAGGCGTTAGAAGTATTTTATACTTTTGTTCATTGTGAAATCATTATGTACATCTATATCTGGAAACTGAAAGAGGTTAAAAAAAAAAAAAAAAAAACTGATTCCGTATTTTTGAGAATTTATGGCATTTTAAATTTCTAAAGAATAAGTAAAAAATGCAACACGATTTCATGTACAAAGATGATACGATACTAGACGATATGATTTAACACGTACACTACAAGTGACTTAAAATGTTTTTATTTTTTATTTGGTGCATTACATTTTTCTAAATGCCCATCTTAAAAGCATTTTTTATTGCACATATTAAATGTGACAAAAAGTTTTATAGATGTCATAAACAGTTTCTCACCATTTCTGCGAAACTCATCTGTATATGACTAGAGTTATTTAGAGGTTATCTATATGTATTATATTATTAAAACATAAAATTACATATCGGTCCTAAGTAAACAGCACATAATTATTAATATTTTCCAACATATTATAAATATAAAATGAAAGCAACTTGCAAGGGTAATTGTCCCTTTGGTACTGTTTCTTATAAGAATATTTTTACTCATTTTATTCATAAGAAATTTTTTTATAAGCATAAATTTTTTTGTTAAGCGTAGTTAGAAGCGTTTTTAGGTTGTAATTATTTCAAAAGCAAGCTCAAATAGACCCTTAGTCAGTAATTCGAAGCTAATAAAAATCTTCCATCGTCATGAAAATCTTGCTCTTAATCTTCAAATTGATCAAAATGATAAAATAAAACAACGTTAATTTCGACCGTTGCCTAATACAATACAAGTAAAAAAGAATAATAAAAAATACCAAGCAAAAAGTCACTCTGATCGAAATAGAATAGAACGAACAAAAACAAAACGACCCCACCAAAAGTAAAGTGGAACAAAACTCCAGCTCTGTTCTACTTCTTCAGTCCAGATTTGTTGCTTACAAGCAGAATCAGATTGAACTTCCATGTAAGTGCTTCTTGCAAGCATAATAATTATTTCAATCTTTTATATTTATGTTTTTTATATGCCATACATACATTCATCAATGAGACCTACACATCCTAAGTAAAACTATTTTTCACTTAATTTCTGCAGTTGTGCGTTTTAATTGGTTCAGTCTGGATTTGTGGACCTCAAGCAAAATCAGATCTCAAAATTTCTATGTAAGTGCTTATTCTGAACTGAAATATCTAGTAATTATTTCATTTTCTTTTATATTTGGCTTCCTGCGTTCTTCTTGGGGCGTTCCTTCTTCAAAGGTATACAACTTCACTTCACCTCTCATCTTCCCAGACTTCATATGCAAATCTTCTCTAATATGTATCAACTGTTCCTATTACCACAAAATTCAATTGGTCAAACAAGCATAAACAAGGTTCTTATAAATAAATAAATAATATAAAAAAAGGTTTTTATAACAATACCATCTTGTTATAAAACTTGCTGCATTAACAATACTATGTCTTGGTTCTGGCTCTCTTTGGTTCTAAAAGTGTGTTACTGTGTATTGCCTTTGAATTTTCCTTCTTGTTCATTGCGACACCTTCGATATTTGGTAATTCGTGAAGAAATCTGCTGCTGATATATATCACATATACTTAAACTGCAGGTACTTCTGATTTATTCTGTTTGGTGCCTTTCTTTTTTTTCTTTTTCTTTTTTTTTTTTCTTTTTTTTATTTTTAAAAGCAAAGCTCAGAATTCCTGTTTTCTTCACCATAGGTTATTTGCTATGTGGCAGTTTAAGAACAGATTATGTCTACTCAGTAATATAAAAAATTGCAGCTGTCAATTGAGTCTTAAAGTCTACAACCTACTCACTTCCCCTAGCATTTGAGCAGCACTAATTGGAGCATCATTGCCACACTAGAAATATAAGAACAAATAAGAGAATTAGAGTGTGTTTAGAGCCTTTCCATTGGAAGAGCCCAGCCCGAGGCTAGGGGGAAAACAAAATAAAATTGTGTTCCAGCGGAGCAGCCCAGGCCCGGGGGTGGTCTGGGTCCCACCACC